TTTTTCACCTTAGAGCAATATTAGGTTCACCAGAGGTCATCGAAGGTCAAAATTTGCCAATTGTCATTTTATTTTTCAGAAAACATGCCGCTATCTCAGGAACTATGGTAGCTAGAAAAAACGCATCAAAGAACAATCGATAGCTTTTGAACTCTTCTTTTGAAAAGGTCATTATCAAAATTGACCTCAGGTCAACGGTTTAGCCTCCAGAGGGCAAAAACTCCATACGAAAAGTGTTTTTCGCCAATAACTTTCGACTAAAAAAAGCCACGACATTTCTATTGCCAGAATCGTGTTCCCCTCACCGAGACGCGTCGAATGAACTATAATTTGACCTTGAAAGGTCAACTTGAAAATTTGACCTCAGGTCAAGGTCATGACCTGACCGGAAAAGGTCATGTTGCATATCAGTCGATGCGTCTCAACAAGACAAACACAATGAGACCATCCCCAGCGTTCTATCTCTTTCCAATCGCGAGTTATTGGCAAAAAACTGTTTGTAGCCTCAAATGACCTCGGATGACCTTTCTAGAGGCTATCAGCAAAAATGACACCTTTGTCATCACGAGTGGACTAAATCATTGTGATTCTGAAATATTTGGACTGTTCCTATGCGGTTACACGGATCTAGAGGCATTTTCATTTTTCTCCATTGACTTGTAATGGAAAGGTCATGCCACTGACCTGCCTGACCTTAGGTCACGGATATAAAAAATCCGAGATATACAAATTGTAGGCACCCATAACAGCATGCAATCCACCAAGTTTCAAACCTTTCTGACAAACACTGCAGGCTGGACATGATTGCAAACTTTTTTTTAAGGCTTGGTCAGTTAACTTGACCTGGTGACCTGACCTGACATGACCTGGGGTCAAAAATTTCACACATTGTCCAAAATTGATGTACCAAAAGCTACCCCAAGCGGCGCGGCGCTACGCGCCGCGGTTTTTTATTCACACGCAAAAAACGTGACAGGGTGGTAACATATGCCCCCCCCCCACTGGGGCGAAGGTTAAGCTAGATCCAATTTCTTTGCATGAAAAGACTCAGCATTGAACGCGCTATCAAACTGCTATCTCGGATTTTCAAAATGTTGAAAATTTCGAAAATTTTATATAATAACATTAAAAATTTATATTTTTATTTTTTTCAAAAGGTTTTGACTTTTCGAAAAAAACGGAATATATGTGACAGAACGCATGCTTATGACTAACTCTAGCAAGTTTTAGCTAAATATCTTAAAAAATGCCTAAGTTATACGCATTATTGCAAAAAAACTCACAATTATTAACCCGCGCCGGGCCGGGGGTGTTTGAAAACCCCCCTGCGGTTTTTCGCAGATATCTCAAAAACGGCGGCGCAGAGCGCCGCCGTTTTTGGCACACCTGTTCGTGCATCTTTTTCACACATGTTGTGGAAATTTCAGACCCAGGTCACGTTAGGTCAGGTCACCAGGTCACGCCAAGTGACCTCACCTCAGAAAAAATAAGAATGCTCGTCATAGCTACACCGATTGATCGATTGCCTTGAAACTTTCAGCGATTGATTAGAGCAACATTATCTATAAAATGTATATCTCAGAATTTCGATATCGATGACCTAAGGTCAGGTCAATTTTGCGACCTCTCCATTATAAAAGTCAATGTGAGAAAATTGAAAAGCGTCTGTTTTGCACGAACGCTATTCTAGACACTCTCAAACATGGAAATGTAGGTAAAATGGACACACTGAACCGGAAAATGGCAACTGTGACCCCTCGTTATGTCCCCGAGGTCACCTCAGGTCACGAACAGAATCTAACAGCTTTTCGCTAATAACTTCTGATAGAGACGTGCTAGAGCGCTGAAAACGCCTTAGATGTGTTCGGCTCGACGTTGCGGATCGACTGATATGCAACATGACCTTTTCCGGTCAGGTCATGACCTTGACCTGAGGTCAAATTTTTAAGTTGACCTTTCAAGGTCAAATTATAGTTCATTCGACGCGTCTCGACGAGAGGAACACGATGGTGGCAAAAGTAATGTCGTGGCTCTTTTGAGTCAAAGGTTATCCCGGCAGGCGGTGGGCCTACCAGCCACCTTCCGCGCGGTGGGGGGGGGGGGCATTTTTTTTGCCCCCCCGTATCTCCGAAACTACTGGACGGATCCGGAAAATTCAAACGGCGTTCGATAGCCCTGTCAAATTTGTCGAGAGAAACCAAATTTCATTGACCTCGGGGTCACCGATGACGTCACAGGTCAGGTCAAAGATAAATGTTTCACCGTTCACGGGGCTTCTAGGGAAAGCGCTATAACACCGAGTAAAACGCATTTTGTCGAAAATCAGCGATAAGGCGTCAGTTGTCTAGTACATATGTTGCTATTAGAGGTCACTGGTCATACCAGGTCAGGTCACAGGTCAGGTCACCAAAGGTCACCAAGGGTCACCACATGAGTCCAACTTTACTAAGGTTATGCGATGCATGTTTTATGGCCAGTTTTTCATTTCCAACTCAATGGTGTTGGTTATAAGACCATCAGGTACGGTTTAGGTCACATTCTGGTGGAGGTCAGGTCAAGGTCAGGTAAAAAAAGGTCAAATTTCAAAGTTGATGTTTTTGCATAAAATGGGAATCGATTCGATGCAGCTCGTCACGGGGAGTCTAATGGTGGTCTTTGTTTTGCGCTACGAGGTCTAGAATTGCTAAAAATTGAGTTTGAAAATTTGACGTCATTAATTTTGAACAGCTTTTTCGCTATAACTTGGCCAAAAAAACAGGTATCGATCTCAAATTTGGTATGTAGATAGAAAGCGGTAGGGACTATCACATATATTCCGTTTTTTCGAAATATAATTTTTTTGGGATTTTTTGGCTATTATATTCAAAAAAATTATTTTTTGATTTTTGGGGGTCAAAATCCAAAAATTTCGAAAAACCGAAATAACAGTTTTGTAGCCCTTTCGATTGATTTCACACCTTTATGTATGAAACATTTTTCTGTATCTCTAAAGCTGTAGGCCTGACAGCTCTTCCCGCGAAACCTTTTTTTTTTTGGTCGAAAATGGCAAAAATGACGTCACTCTGACGTCATTAGCGGCCAACCTATCATAGCCTTTGGAAAAATTTTTGGTCACCATGTGCGCTAGCTGCTCCCGGGAGGGTACTGAAAGTTTGGTGACGATCAGCGCAGCGGTTCTCGAGATATATTGAAAAAACTAAGGGGGGGGGCAAAAAATGCCCCCCCCCCACCGCCTGGAAGGTTATTGCCGAAAAAAACGTTTTTCGTAAAAACCGCTATTTTTTTAGTTTTTGCCCTCTGGAGGCTAAACCGTTGACCTGAGGTCAAATCTGAGAACATTACTCAGAAAGGTCTGTAAAAGGGCTATCGAATGCGCTTTTCCGCGGCGCTGTAGCTCTATCGGTTCCCGAGATAGCCGTTGGCAGTTTCCAAAATGTTGAAATTTCATTTGACCTTTGGTGACCTCTGGTGACCTGACCTTTGACCTGACCCAAAAAATGACCGAAGTGTTTTCGTCCTTATTTTGGACGTTCTTTCGATTGCCGCTTACCGCGTGTCGCTACGTGGCCCAGGAGCCGAGTTATAAGGGGGGGGGGGTTCAGACACCCCCCGGCCCGGCGCGGAATCTCAGAGCACCATCGTGCTCTGGTTATCTGTACGGGTTAATTTTTCAAATCATTTTTTTCAGTACGTTTCTGACATCGTACACCAATATAAATAGCACCATCGTGTTTCTGAGCTCAAACTGCATCCAATAGACACCTGTTTTGTTGAAAAAAATTAAACTTCAAAATTTGACGTTTTTTGACCTGCAAGTGACCTGACCTAAGCTAAATTCGACTCAAAATGACCTCGAATGAAACAGACGACATCAAATTCGAAATCTATGGCCTAAATGGACCATAAAACATGTGTCACGTGACCGACGCATGATATAATATTTCCTTGACCTGTGATGACCTGACTCTGACCTGAAAATCAAAGTACAAGTTTGGTACCCTCAAGGTATCTAGAGCATCTCTTCACGAGTTTGTAAACCAAAAATGAGCCTGATCTGACTTGTAAGACGGCGACCAGAGCCCAAAATGTGAACAAGCCGAAATGCTAATAATTTTTACTTTGACCTGACCTGTGACGTCATCGGTGACCTCGAGGTCAATGAAATTAGGTTTCGTTCGACAGTTTTTCCAGCGCTATCAGACACCGTTTTAATTTTGACGATCGGCCCTGTAGTTTCGGAGTTAGGAGGGGGGCTATGGAGAGCCCCCCCCCCCCCCAGTAGGGCGTGTTATACGCAGACCCCAGTGAGGCGCGGGCTAATTAGGTATGCGGATTCATCGGCCGTTTTGAATATCATGAACTTTGGTAATCTCGGTGACCACGAGTAATAACGATCGAGAGATCACGATCACGATAATTTTTTTTTGCCTTTTGCAGTGATCCCATCAAGATGGAGAGGTCGCAAAATTGACCTGACCTTAGGTCACTTAACTGAGGTCATTTTTTAATCAAAATTCTGAACTTGGGTCGCACTTTGGCTGGCTTGACGGACAGCATGAGCCATGAACGGATCACTGCACCGCCATGTTGTGGATTAGCTTATCAAAATATCCGCGGAATAGTGTCCAACTGTCTATGAGGATCCGATGGCCTGGGTCGTCGGCGAAACGCAAACACTGGTCAGAGTCGTGGTCTGCCTTATCGTATGCGTCTATCTGACACAGATCACTGCCGTCGTGTCCAGTCATGGTGAGCGCGGCAGGTCGGTACTTGGGTGAGACTCCCGGGCCGGCGGCGCGGGAGATAGGAGCGCGGCAGGTCGGTACTTGGGTGAGACTCCCGGGCGGCGCGGGAGACGGGGCGATAGGACAGCGTTATCTGCCGGACCGCGGAGGGTCGGCCCGCTCGACTCTCCCAGTCACCTCTCAGCGGCGCGCCGTGTCCGAGCACGGGTCAGCGGGTCAGCGGCACAGGTCAGTCCCTCTCAGACGCCGGCAGTCATGGGTGTCGAAATCTACGGCAGCGAGGGCAGCCCGGCGTGCCGGTGTGTGTTCCTGGTAGCGCGCGCCATCGGGCTAGACTACACGCTAAAACCGACCAACCCGATGGCCGGCGAGACGCGCACCGAGGAATTTCTGCGCATGAACCCGGCGCACACGATCCCCACGATGGCCGACGACGGCCTGTTCCTGGGCGAGAGCCGCGCCATCGCCACCTACCTGATCAACAAGTACGCGCCCGAGAGCGAGCTGTACCCGCGCGAGCCGGCCGCGCGCGCCGTCGTCGAGCAGCGGCTCTTCTACGACGTGGGTCTGTTCGCGGCGCTGCGCTCCGTGCTGGGCGCGCTGCTCTACTTCAAGAGCCCGGAGCAGTTCGAGGCCGCGCTGCCCCAGGTAGACGAGTGCATGGAGCTGCTGGAAACGTTCCTGAAACGCTCGCCGTTCGTGGCCGGCGACCACGTGACCGTGGCCGACCTGGCCATCGTGGCCAACGTGTCCACCATCGAGGCGGCCGAGCTGGATCTGTCGCGCTGGACGCGCGTGCAGCGCTGGCTGGCCAAGATGAAGGCGCTGCCGTACTACAGCGTCAACGAGGCGGGCGCCCAGTACCTCGGCGGCGTCTTCAAGAAGGCGCTCTTTCAGGCCAGGAAGGCCAAGTTCTCGGCATCGTAGAGACGCCGGGCTCTGAGAGTTAGTTTGTCACCTTTCCACTTCCTCTGTGGCCCGATCATCTGCCGCTGGTCAGGATTCTAACGTCACCTACATCCGCACCGTAAAGTTATAACGGGGAGCTACGGCGCCAATGCTCCAGCCTACGTTGTTTCCGTGTTATCAGGTAAACTTACTTACTTATGTTATTTACTGATGATGTGTAAATGCGCTGTTCCCGACGTCTAAATACAGTGATATGATGCACCCTGCCAGCTCCATCGTCTTATTACGAGACTCACGACCCATCCAGTCTCGCTAACTTACAGCGGGCACGCTTGTTAGTTGTTCTGTGCATACACTTTCAGGCACCTGGTAAGTGCACCTAAACCGACGTGTGTGCCAATAAGTTATCATCCATTTACTTCTTTGATGCAAAAGCGTATGATTCCTGTTTCACCATTAGGTATACGCCGAAAGTCGACAACTACCTACATATATAGGTATATGCAAGCTTAGCGTTGTAATCATCATCGATCCGGACACTGGACAGTGCCGGGATATAAAAGAATAGTTAGATATACGTAATTTAACGTAAACGTTATACCTGTAGTTTGGTTTTCAAATGACCTTTTCCTCGATATTGTTTCATATGGCTTGAGAATGAACTGCTGTTCGAAAATTTGCCGAACGATATAAGATCTGCTTTTTATCGCATTTTCAATTAATTATCGAGGAAAAGGTCATTTGAAAACCAAACTACATATGTCAAGATGTTTCTCGCTAGAGCACTGCATACTATTTACTCATAAACGTTATACCTATAGGATATTTGTTGCGAAAAATATTATAGGTACGCGTTGAACCCAAATGCGTTTTACCACCCTCACAATTTGCTTAGGTATGCTAGTTTTATTTCATTTGACACCTTTCGCTACACATACAAGCAGGATAGATGCAATAACGTTCAACCTGGTTCTTTTTTCCATATAGTTAGTCACAGTTTATTTGTAAAGAACGCTTCAATTCTCTTACGCCGTATTTACCCAAGGTATCTACAATCTCCTAGGTAAGTAGGTAGGTACAATCTTTAAAACGCCTCGTGACACGTTACGCATGTTATCTTTTTCCTTTTGAGTGGCCTTCCAAGCCGACATGCAGATAATCATAAGTGGTCTCTCAGGGCCTCGGCTAAGGAATTTTGACTAGTGGGCCACTTGGGCAGCGACATGGACTGACCTTCGTAGCCATAGCCCCCCCCCCAAATTTTTGATTTCTCACCAGATTTCGGCCACTTTATTCTGCAAAAAAAAAAAAAACGTCAGGATGGCATTAAAAATGTAAAAAACGGGCCTCGACCCCTCCCCCCGACTCTTCAGAGAGAGTAGAGAGTAGGGACCCACAACCCTCTCAGTGGTGATACTCCGGCGGTGCACATAAAATCGCATAAGTAAGCACAAAATATTGTCGTAGATAAAACTTTGGACGATAACTTACGACCGGTCGGATGTTAAAAATCAGCGAGCCCTGAGTGGATCGCTCGCCGACTACAACTCTTTTCGGAGTTGTAGTCGGAGATTCGGAAGCGGTCGGACGGGATCGGGCGTTGTCGGGTGGATCGGGAGGAATTGTGAACAGCACAAGTGCAACTTTAGTAAAGTGAGTTGTAGCAGGAACCCCAAAAGGGGGTTGTAGCAGCAGCCCCAACATCTCTGAAAATGATCATTAAGCATATTGGTGTCGCATGGAAAAGAATTGACTCAAAAGCCCAAGCGCACTGTGCAACCCTAATATTTTTCTAAAAAACTAAGTTATGTACGCTTTTGGTGAACAGTGTCCCAAACTTCGGATTTCTCTTTGGTGTCTGAGTGGAAAATTCTAGCCACCCAAAATGTGAGAGTGGATAATTATCCATTCTTATGCGTGGTTCACACCGGATCCGTAATGACCGTTACGTTCCGTAATGAATACGGTGGCGATTAAAAAATATCTCGAAAGTGGAGGGCACAATGCAACGCGCATGCGTAGTTCGATTTTTTGAAGCCGTAACGCCGTAATGGTTACGGATTCGGTGTGCACCGGGAATTGCCATCGCTGAGCGTCACCGTTCGAAGCAAGTGCGCCAAAACTCTATTTTGTTTATAGGCAAGCGGAAAATGGACTAAAGCCAAGAGCTGTTTTTAATACTGGAGCGCCAGAATGTAGACTTGTTTTACTCTCTTCCTTTTAATTTGTTAATTTTGCTCTGACATAGCGGTCTGCAATTGTATCGAGTCATATCATTGTTAATTAAACGCCGATGGGCAGAACACTGGTCGGAGACTCTTGCATTATTTCTTGCATTACAAGAGGGCATGTCTATGCCCGTCAACGCTGAAGTTTATTTCTTACATTCTTTGCTATTCGTGGGTGATGGGAATACCAACGGACGCCAGAATCTGGATTGTATACCATTTGCTCGATTGGCTTGCCAAGAGTCAATGTGGATTCAAACGTCTGCCAATATCTACAAGTCCAAGTATCAAATTTAGCAAGTAGCAGAGGCAATATGGCCGGTGATGTTTACTCAGAACTCCATGAAACTCAGAACTCAGAACTCCACAAACAAGATACAAAGTAAGCCGTGAACGTTACACGCTGAGGGCATGCTCACAAGAAATAATAATTATTGGCAGGTTGATTCGAGCTAAGGTAAAAGGCCAAAGGGTCTGCACGTGCGCACGAGCAGACCGCTGCAGCCCTCGTCAACATTTGGAAGCTTCACAATCGCTCGGCGATACCTTGGCTTAACCTACCAAAGATGCAATCCCAAGCAATCGGAACATGCCATTAAAAAGGGTAAGCACGCGCACGTGTGCTGACCAATACGCTCGCTGACCTGTGGAGTCTTCTAATTTGCATGGTGTTATTCAGCATACTTAATATAAGCTCTATCGGCCCAGCCGATCTGCGGTTATGGAAAAAGGGTGCGCACGTGCGCACGTGCTAGCCTATACCCTCGCTGACCAGTACAAGCTGCAGGTCAGCATGGTGTCATTCGGCATGCTTAATATGAGCGTTATCGGCCCAGCGGATCCCGAGATATGGAGAAGGGGTACGCACGTGCGCACGTGCAAATCAATGTCTTTGCCAACCCGTGCAATCTGCTTATAAGCATGGTGTTATTCAGCATACAAAATATGAGCGCTATCGGCCCAGTCGATCCACAGATATGAAAAAGGGGTACGCACGTGCAAATCAATGTCTTTGCCAGCCCGTGCAATATGCTCAAAAACATAGTGTTTTTCACCATACTTAATATGAGCGCTATCGGACCATCCGATCCCCACATACTAAAAAGGGGTACGCACGTGCGCACGTGCATGCACAGGTCTTTGCCAACCTGTGCAATATTCATATTTACATGGTGTCCTCTAGCATACAAAATATGAGCGCTATCGGCCCAGCAGATCCCGAGATATTAAAAAGGGGTGTGCACGTGCGCACGCGCTGAAGAGATTCAAAATCGTTCAAAGGTCACCGGATGTGTAGTGTGCACCCAGACAAAACAACAAACAAATTTTGAGCTGTATCGCTTCAGCCGTTCCCGAGTTATGAAATGACGAGCTCCTCTGGAACCTCTCACGTCGCACGTGGCACGCGCTGTAACAGGCACTCATGACTTTTATGGATAGCACAGTTCCATGAAGAAAAGATACATCCCCTCTCCAAAGAAGACCGCTCATCAAACAGTCAAACCGTTTTGGAGATACATGTCAACAAAAGTCATTACGGCGGCCGGTCGGGTCGAAAAGTTCAATTTTCCTAACTTCTGTTACGTTCCGTAACGAGTACGGTGGACGATGCCAGTTTACGGCGGCTGGTTGCCAAATTTCAACTTCGTCTAGAAAAGTCGCAATGCTTGGGGAATCTTGAGAAATGTCTTGCTCATTACGGCCGTAACGGTTACGGCGTCATTACGGATCCGGTGTGAACCACGCTATTCTTGAGTGTCATCTTCAGCCCAAATGAGAAATTTTTGGAACGCTGACTGTGAACGGTTCGGAATTCGTCCGACTGGTCAGATGTGTGACTGCAAGCATCATACCGGTCGTGAAGACGCATAATATCGCTTGCAGACTTCAATCTGCTGGAAGTCGCCGACACTACCTCTAGTTTGACTCTGGCTTATATCGTGTATATCGACGAGCCGTCTGAGCTCGCTCGCAGGCTTATACCCGACCGTCTGAACTGGCCTGTTCTTTATTACGAGCGAGCGAGCGCAGCGAGCGAAGTAGTCTTCAATATAACGGAAAAATCTAAGTATGAGCGGCCCGGCCCGGCCCGGCCTGTAACGCTTTTGAGAGGCTTATATCTCAGCAACCGCTGGACCGATTGGCCTGCGGTCTTTTTTGTTGGGTAGCCCCATCCCTTCTACCTCGTAATTGACTACTTTTGATACATCTCAGTGACCGTCGTGGCACGTGCCACGTGAAATGTGAAGGGTGTTCAAGCTGTTTTGCAAAAGTAGTGATTTTGAGAGGCTCATATCTCAGCAGCCGCTTGGACGATTGGCTTGCGGTAATTTTTGTAGGGTAGCAGCATCCCTTCTACCAAAAATAGGATACTCTCGATGCATGTGGGTCACCCCCAGTGCACGTGCAAAATACAACAATAAGAGGTGTCAAATTTGTTCCCATTTTAACCCTCGCCCGTAAACAGCGATCTGCCACCTTCGCCCATGCAGGGGGGGGGGTTGGTGCGACCCCCCCCCCTTGGCGTTTGAAAACGGAGCGTCGTAGAGCTTAGCGGAAAAGACCAACGGATTGCTCTCGCCGAGATCTCGCGATTGGTGGTATATTTTTTGGTCCTAGGTCAACATTTGACCTACTTTTGACCGGTCAAAGGTCAAATTTTCGGAAAAAATATACTTTTTCAACTTTCCGCGGCGATTGCGGCAAAACGGTGTGAGATATCGACTTGAAACCTTCACTATCGTGTTCCTTGATCAATTCTCTATCGTTTGGTATGTATTTCGTTTCCCT